CCCGAGGCTCCCCGTGCGCTGGGGGCCCGGGGAAGGGCTTTTCTTCCCAAAACTACTACTCATAGGGTTAACCTAGATGAGTATTGTATTCCCTGGTTTTGTTTTTAGGGTCTTAGAGAACACTGTCTGCCTTTATCCTTTCATTTGTTCCATACATATGTTTCCCCACTCATTTGGTGAGCAGAGCTTTGGGAGCAGGGCTAGCCTGTTTGGGCACATGGTCTTTATATATGGAGAAAGTGAACAAAGATTCTAGTGGAGAGTGAAGCATCAGCTGTGGTACTAGAAGGTGCTGTTGATGGGTCTGTCTGCAGTCATCATGGAGGTCAAGCTGGCTTGAAAGTAATACCTAATGGTTAAGGCAAGAGGGCTCTTTATCATCAAAGATGGACATTCTAGAATTTGACCTTTGTACTCAGCTGTCCCTCTTCCTTATTGTTATGTGGTTTTTGTTTTGTTTTTTTCTGTTAAGCACTCTAAATCTTTCTGGTCATTGGCTAATTGTGCTGGGTAGCTGGGACCACCATATATAGGTGCTGGATATCAGCCAAAAAGAAGGTGGAAAAAGCCTGCCTGAGTGTGTTAGTGGACTGCAGGGCAGATAGTTCAGCCTACTTGGTTTTATTCTGTGATTTATTTATCAAACAAATATTTTGAAGTTATTACTAGGTCATTACGTTCAGTTTTACTAGTTTTGGGTGTTTATTGAACACTTACTTTGTGTATCAGCTCTGTTAACTCTTCACTAATCCAAGTTGAGGAATTGAGTGAAGCCACCTGCCTGCTTTTAATTGGTATTGAAAATATGTAACACAGTTATCATCCTAAACATTTTTAAATGTAAAGCAGTACTAACTATATGCACATGATATATAGCAGAGCTCTAGAACTTTTTTTTGGTACCAGGAATCGAACTCAGAACCTCACACTTGCCAGGCAGGTGCTGTGCCGCTGAGTGATATCCCTGGCCCTAGAAGATTCTTTGATAAAAACTCACTGTACAATCCAGGGTGGCCTCAAACTGAAATTCTCCTACCTTGGCTTCTCTAGTGCTAGGATTACAAATGTGTGTACCTCCAGGTCTGGCTGAGCTCTAGAACTTTTTTTATTTTATAAAAAAACTGAAAGCAGCTAGGTGCAGTCACGCATGCCTGTAATCCCAGCACTCCTGGGAGGCTAGGCAGGGGGATTGCTGTGAATAAAAGGCCAGCCTGGGCTGCATAGTGAGTTTAAGGGCAGTCTAAACTGCGTAGCGAGACCCTGTCTCAGAAAAAAACAACAAAAATGGAAGGTATATCCATTGCACAATTACTCCTTTTTGTACCCCTTTCATGAAACTGGCAGTTACCCTTTTACTTTCTCTGTGAGTTTTATTGTTACAGGTATCTTACACAGGTAGAATCAGACAGCAATTGCCTTTTTGTGACTGGCTCATTTCTTTTGGCACAACATTCTTCAGGCTGATCTGTGTTGTAGCTTGTGTCTAAGAATAGTATTCCATTGTTTGGATATATCACCTTTTCTTTAATTACCTTTCTTGTTGATTATCTCTTGGTTTGCTTTCAGTTCTGCTTTGTTTTTGCTTTGCTATTTTTTTTGTTTGTTTTGTTTTGTTTTTGTTTTTGTTTTCCCTGGTACCAGGAATCGAACTCACAACCTTGCACTTGCCAGGCAGGTGCTATGCCACTGAGCTAAATCCCCAGCCCCCTTGCTTTGCTTTTTTGAGGCAGGGTCTTACTATATAGTCCAGGCTGGACTTGAACTCCATCCTCCTCCTTTAGCTTCCCCCAAGTGCTGAGGTTATGGATGTGCACCCACCATGCCTGACCTTTTTTCAGTATTTTTTAACATAGCAGGGCTCTAACCTAGGGCCTCTCGCATAGTAAGTAGTTAGCTACATCTCCACCCCTTCATACATACGTCCTCAAACTTGGCGGTGTTCTGCCTTAGCTTCCTAGGATTACAGGCATGTGCCTCTGCCCAGCTTGCTTCCACATCTTGACTTCGGTAATGTTGAAATGAATGTGGATGTGCAAATAGCCTCTGGCCTGCTAGTGGCTAGAAACTTTCCCACATCTTGCCTGCACATTAAAACTATTTGGGATTTTTGGCAGCTGTGAAATAATGGACCGAGGGGCCAAGGAAGTGTCAAGCAGTGACACTAAGGTATCTGGCCAGGTTTCTCCCAGAGCAGCCTAAGAGAAAAATAATTAATTAAAAATGAATTAGACCCCACACTGCCATCTCCTTACTTTCCCAGATCTCATCCTGTCAGTTATTCATAGCCCTGTCGTCTAACCCTGGCACATTTTGCACTGCAGTTTCCCAGGCAAATGGCTTGAGTTGCCTTTATTTCAGCTGTGTCATTCTGAAATGGCTCTCAGAATCAAGGTGACTTAACATTTTTCTGTGTTGCTTAGAAAATACAGCCAGAAGGGGCTGGGGATTTATCTCAGCAGCACAGTGCCTGTCTGGCAAGTGCAGGGTCGTGAGTTCGATTTCCAGTACCGGAAAAAACCAAAAAACGTGTGTGTGTGTGTGTGTGTGTGTGTGTGTGTATGTATGTATATATATATATATATATATATATATATATATATATATATATATATATATATAGCCAGAGCAGTTTAATTTTTGAAATGCTTTAAGTTTGAAGGTTCCTGCTAACTCTTGAGCAGAAGAGGTGCTTCCAGTGACACTAGTATTGGCAAGCACTGTCTTGGTGCTTTTGTGACTTATGTATGGACAACTTCAATTGTTTTCGCCTCTCCCATGTGTGAGTGATTCTTTGATACTGAACAACAGTCCTTCACAGGGCAGCATGGTGCCTCAGGATTGATTGCCATGCTATTTGCTTGCACATCTTGGCTTTGGTAATGTTGAAGTGAATGCGGATGTCCAAGTAGTATCTTTTTTTTTCCCCCGTAGGAAATCTGATGGCATTTTTGTAAATAACACCATCTAGACATCATTTAATGGGTATTTTGGCTTTTATGAATACTGTTACTTTATGTGTGTGTGTGTGTAAATGCGTTTTCTGTGCCGGGTGTGGTAGCATATACCTGTAATTCAGCACTCTGGGAGGCTGAGATAGGAGGATTATAAATTCAAGTCCCACCTTAAGTGAAACTCTGTCTCAAAGAAAAGAAAAAATGATTTTTTTCACCTTTTTTTTTTTTTTGTTTTTTTGTATGAGGAATTGAACCCAGGGCCTTACACTTGCTGAGCAGGTGCTGTACCACTGAGCTACATCCTCACGCTCGATGTTTTCTTTTCTCTTGGGTATAGGGTATCTATGTTTAGGTACCTTTAGAAGAGCTGCTAGACTGCTTTCCAAAGTGGCTGCCCCATTTTCCATTCCTACTAGCAATTGTGAGGGTTCCACTTCTCCACATCCTTGCCAGTACTTACTTGTCTTTTTGATTACAGCACAATTTCTTCTAAACCTTCCCAGAATCTAAGATGAGTTTCTGCTTCAACTTCTTAACCTTCCCTTCCAATCATCGCTTTTAGCAGCAATTGCAGGATACCGAGTTGTGTTTTCTTAGCATTCTTGGAGGTTAATCCCACTAAGGTGAGTGTTGTCATGGGACACACCAGATGCAGGTGGCCTTGTATGGCGACCTGAATACATGTTGTGATCAAGAGGTTGAATTTTAAGTTTGTAACATGGGACTCATTTTCTGTGTCCTTTTATTCAAGTAATGTTTTAATTGATCTTTTTAGGCAGTACAGTATGTGAGACTTGGGGTAGGAGGTCCTACTTCGTATTCTCCCTCACTTTTTTTTTAAGACAAGTTCTTGTTACGTAGCTTAGTGTGGCCTCAGACTTGTGATACTCTTGCCTCAGCCTCCTGAATGCTGGGATTACAGGTGTGTACACTACATCTACCCTTCTCCTCCGGTTTTATTACTCATAAGCACACCTGTGTATCTGAGGCTAAAGGTTATGTTTCAGAACCCGTTTTTCTCCCTGGGCTTGTTGCCAAACAGCTTCTGGTTGAGAGTAAAGGGTGAAGAATTGATTCATTGGGGATCTTCTTCAGGTGGTGGCTTATGCAATTTGCAACCATTCTTCTAGGTTTTTTTTTTTTTTTTTTTTTAACATGCTGAGGATGAAATCGAAGGCCTTGCACATGTTAGATAAGCAGTTTACCACTGAGCTATACCTCTAACTCCTGCAGCCAAGTTATCCTTAAAGTTAACTGTTTTTTTTTACTGTTACATAGTCGTTGGCATTGTCTTGTCTTGGGGAAGGATTGAGATAGTATTATGGTTTGTGTCTGTGTGTCCCTCCAAAGACACATGCAGTCATGGGGCGGGCTTTTAGAGTTCATGATTGATTCATGGTCCATTGTTGGAATTATGGGGGCTGAGTGCTACACCCGCCCTGGGGCAGATAGTTTGCATACTAAGGGAGAGAAAGAGGCTGCTTGCTGCTATTCCTCCCCTTTTGCTCTTGTTGCTTTTGCTATCTTCCACCCACCACCATGAACTGTTGCCCTGTGCCATGTGCTACTCTACCTTGGAGCCAGCTGAGTGTGCACTGGAACCTCCACGAACTGTGAGCTAAATAAACCTTTCCTTCCTTTATTTTGGGTGTCAGGTATTTTGTCTCAGCAACAAGAGAAAAGTAACCAAGGGAGATAAGTCACTCTGTGTTTATTTCATGATTAGTTGAAGTTGTCTGTCTGATGTGTTTGAGTGCTTGCTAAAAATAGAATGTACTGTCCCAGGAGGTAACAGATGAGTACCATCGTGACTGTTGGTACTGAAGCTGAAAATGGACAGTCACTCACTGAAATTTGAAGGCATGGGCAAAGGAAAGGGGACAGGGTGCATAACCTCAGAAGGCCTGTTTCCCTGTAGGTTAAAATGTAACAGAAGAACTCCACTTGAAATTCAGAATTGTGAAGTTCCTGTGTCTGGGAAGGAGTAGCTGTGCTTGGTACTGATGGTAGTCAGCTATAGCAGAGATCACTTCAGCCCACTCTGAAATCCTCTGATTTTCTGAAGATGCTGTGAGACTCAATGACAAGTAATCGATGATACAGTGGTTTGATTTGCATTCTAAATTTGAGTAACTGTGAAGCTTGCCCACTCTGCTGCTCCCTGCGTTTATTTCCTTGCTTCATGTCCTTGCAATCCTGAATCTTGACTAGACCAACCTTTTTTCTTTTTGTTTCAGTTGCTTATATTACTAATTTTGTGCTGTGCTGGGGATTGAACCCAGGGCATTGCCCTGACTTACATCACCAACCAGTTTTTTACTTTAGACAAAATCTTACTTAGTTGCCCACACTGGGCTCAAACTTGTGATCCTTCTGCCTCAGCCCCTTGAATAGGTGGAACTAAAGGCATGTATCACTTATACCAGTGGTTGTGTATACTTCTAAACAATGCATTGCTTATTTCCGCTGTGCTTGAGCTTTGTGTCATTGACAGTTTACCGATTACCATTTCTTTGTTTAATGCTCAGCCATAAAGCAGTAAGTATGAGTGAAGTGTGAATGGGGTACAAGTTATTCATGTATTTGTGGGCATTTGGGTCATTATTGGGGTGTGGAAGGGGCATCACTGTCAGCAGAGTTGCTGTGAGCATTTTGTATGTGACATGTGAGCAGGTTTCTCAGCAAAGGCACAGGAGTAGAATTGGCTGGGCTAGCAGGGATACCATAATGCCATATAGTTGAAACAATTGGTATTTTCACATCCCATACTGTTGAACTGTATTTTCACTATCATCATATTAATAGGCCTTTTTTGGGGGGCCAGTCTTGATGGGTATAAAATGTCATTGTAACTGGGCTTAAGCATCCCTGCATGTGTTTATTTGTTGCCCTTGTTTGAAATGCCTGTTCCTGTCTTTTGCTTTTTTTTTTTTTTTTTTGGTACTGGGAATTGAACTCCAGATCTTGAGCTTGCCAGGCTCAAGATGGGCTGCTGAGCTATCTCCCCAGCCAGTGACTTTTTTTTTTTCTTTGAGACAAGGTGTCACTGTGTAGTTTAGGCTAGTTTTGAACTCACTATGTAGCCCAGACAATCCTCTAGCCTCCTGAGTGCTGGAATTACAGGCATGTGCTACCATACCTGCTTTTTTTTTAAGCTTGTTTATTTTTTAAAAATACAATGGCAGTCCTTAGTAGGATCTGAGTACTTCATCTGTGTGGGTAATGATTATGCAAATATTTCCTTTCAGTTTGCTTGCTCTGTTCCCCATAACATCTTTTGATACACAGAAGGTGGTTTTTCAGTGAGGGATAATTGGGATTTGAGCCCAGCACCTTCACACTGAGCTATATCACAGCCTGTTTTTTTATTTTGTGGGTTTTTTTTTTTTTTTTTTTGGTGTTTTGGTTTTGGTTTTGGTTTTGGTATTTTTTCAGTAGGGGGAATCAAACTCACGACCTCGCACTTGCCAGGCAGGTGCTGTGCCGCTGAGCTAAATCCCCAGCCCCTTATTTTGTGTTTTGAAGGAGAGGTCTCACTAAGCTTCCCAGGCTGGGGTCGAACTTGGGATCCTCTTACTTTAGCCTCCCAGTCTATTGGGATTACAGAAGTGCATAGCCATGGCCAGCTCAGATTATCTTAATTTTAATGTGTATAAATTTATGAACCCTTTTTTTGTGGTTGATGAAAAGAATGTTTCCTCTAAGTCAAATATACAGTGGTACCTCAGTTTACGAATGTAATTTGTTTTATGATTTTGGGGAAGATGGTCGTGGTTGTGTTTGTTACTGGATGAGGGGTTTGTGAATGGAAGCAAAATTTTACTGTATGCTTTTGTTTGAGAACCTGTTTGTGAACCGAAGCATTCATGAACCAAGGTATTACTGTATTCTGTATTCTAAAAGCTGTAAAGTTCTGCCTGCCTAGGTTATACCATCTAATAACGGTCCATCTAGTAATGACTCTTTCGGCGGTGGGTACCGCTTATAGAACTCATTCCCTCGCGCTTGCTGGGCAGGTGCTGTGCTGCTGAGCTGCATCCCTGGCCCTAGTAATGGTCTTGAATGTAGGATAAGGAGTCCCAGGCTCTTCATGGGCAGTATGAGCTCAATGTGATCTCTGGTTTTTTTCCCTAGCATTAGATTCCTTGGCTGCAAAATAGATCCTAGACCCTACTGAGTCCAAGGTTCCCTTGAGGTTGGAATACAATATTCAAACACATTCAGCCCCGTGCTTCAGTAGGCATTTAGTAATTGCTGTCTGGTCTGAGTCCAGCTGCATTCCCTAAGTGTGTGGATACTCCAGGAAAGTTGTCATTTAACTGGGAAAATTGCTGCTAGTACATTGTCTGCCAACTACTGCATGCGTGGTGGCCAGGCTGGGTTTGGCTGCTTAGTGAATCCCCTGGCAGGACACTGGGAGCCTAGAGAGTGTATACCACATGCAGAGCTCTCCTGGTGCAGGCAATTGCTCACTCAGACCAAGAGCTGGTTTCATGTGATAGAAATGAAAGCATAAGAACATATTGTAACTTTTCCCAGAGTCCCTCGAGCTGTTACAAGGCTTAAATCCAGACTCTGCTTACATGGTCCACCATTTCAAACAAGAGGGGGAATGTCAAGGTATTGAGCGGAACAGAGCCTCCTGGGGCAGAAACGCTTGTGTAGTGACTGTAGACACACAGTGTGTTCCTGTGGGCAAACAAACAGACGGCTGGGGATCTGGTGGTTGTCTATCATTTATGTCACTGCATGTCTTTTCTGAATGAGTTGTAAAGGAATAGAAAGGATTGTGGGATTGTATGGTAGGTTTAAAGATCTCTGCAACCAGCGTTTGACTTTATCTCTGGAAGAGAGTAACGGTGGATGGGCATTTCTCTGTGTGCCCTGAGTTCATTTATCCTCCTTTTGATGATCAGGTGTCAGAGTGAGTCTTCAGGTGCCAGAAGGGCTGTTGACCATAAGATTGCAAATGGTCTGTTACGGTGAATTTTTTTTGCTTGTTTACCAGATTGATTGTGATAAGTTCTTGCTTTGTCGTTCAGGTGGGCCTCAAACTCCCAAATGCTGGGATTATAGTTGTGTGCCACCACACTTCTTGCTAGCATCTTGATCAGGGGTTCCATTCACACTGGGGATTGTTGAGCAGGACAGCTAATTAATGATTAGCCATCAAATGCTTATTGATCCTTCTCTTTTTCCTCTAGTAGCCATATCTGAAAAACTGGAAATTTCTGATATAAAACAACTGGGGAGTGGTTATGAGCTGTGGCCTTTTTTTTTTTGTACCTGGAATTGAACTCAGGACCTTGTGCTTGCCAGGCAGACACTTGTGCCTCTGAGCTATATCCCTGCCCCGAGCGGTAGCCTTTTGCAGCTATCACATCCCAGTAAAAGGTGACAGATGTTGGGCATGCTGATATGTATAATTCCAGCAGTCTAGCAGGCTGAGGCAAGGGGATCACAAATTTGCACCCAGCCTGGGTGACTTAATGAGAACCTATCTCAAAATTTAAAAAATCAAAGGGGCCTGGGGATGTAGCTCACTGTGAAGGCCTAGAGTTCAGCTCCCCAGTATTACAAGGGGAAAAAAGTGACAGATTGGGTCTGTATACTTGGCATCCTGTCAAAAGCAACAAAACAAGCAGAGAGCATGGTGACATACTCCTATAAACCCAGCACTCAAGAGACCGAGCCAGGAGGATTTCACATTCTAGCCCTCCCAGGCAATTTAATGAGACCCTGAATAAAAAATAAAAAAGTGCTGGGGAAGTAGTTCATTGCCAAGGCTTGGGGTTTAATCTCCAGTACTGCAGAAAAAAGAAAAAGAGATGGGCCTGTACATATACACAAAAACTCTGACGTTTTTCTTTTTGGACTAGGAGTAGGTCCAGGGTCTTCACACTGAGGGCTGCACTACTTTTTTCTTTGAGAGAGTTCTTGCTGAGTTGCCCAGGTTGGGACCAAATTTGTGGTCCTCCTTCCTGCCTTAACCTCCCTAAGTGCTGGGATTACAAGTATGCACCACCATTCCTGGATACAAGGGGAGTTTTGATGGCAGGAAATCCTATGGG